TCCTGTGCTCATTTTAAAAGCAGGAATGGAGGGGAGAAACTGCTTTAAGGAAAAATCCTGCTCATATGTGTGATGGATTGGGGAGTTTGAGGAGGCAGAAGAAGTGGGAGTCTGACAATCTGAAAGAGCCGGCAGCAGTCACATCTGAGCGGCTGTCACATGTGACTTACAGTGTGAAACGGTCGGATTAATGTATTAAGAAACGACACTTGCTGTTGTCTCTCAATTTCCCTCCCACACAAAGACGACAGACGCTCGCTTTCCTTTTGCAACTAGAGGGCAGTGGACTCTCAGGAGCAGGAAAGAGGGTTATAGGACATGTGAGCTTATAAGGAATTGTGTTATCCATCAGTTTTTTGAGATGATTATTCAGATCCTCATGTCAGCATCAATCAACACAGCCTCAAAACGGTCATTTTTCTGTCTTCCAGCATAAGCCTGTGATGGCTGACATTAAAAGACTACACGTATGTGGAAAGCTGCTATACGAATGCTTTGCAAAGCTTTGCTGGAACGCTTCCATCCTCGGATCCTCCACAAGGGGGTGCAAGAGTCGAGCGAAAGATAACGAGCTGCTGTGTGAGGCGCTCCCTTTAATCAGCAATTCTTAATGAATCGATTTCGACGCTGTGACAGAGAGTAATAATTATAAACCCTGTTAAGTGGATGTTTTCATTAATAACTTTTGGGCAAAGCTCTGCAGACTTTGCTGAGTGTGCCGCAAATGCTGCGTGTGACCCCTTTATAATAACCAGTAATGAGGGCTGAAGCAGTAATGCCCCTGCTGATGTAATTACACATGGATCTTTGGAGATTCTTAAGAATTTTCTCCTCATCGCTAACGGACGCCCATTTATTGCGAAGCACTGCTGGAACGAGATCTGACCAGAAAGAAATCGGCGGGTGTGAGATGATGTATAGATGTGTCATAATGGTGGCCGGGGGACCTGCGTTACTGTGTTTACCTGGACAGTGTTTGTCAGTAAAAGTCACTGGGTCAGATAATTGAGTAAAAAGAGACAGATGGTGGCAGCATTTACTGCTGATTACATGGAGGTCATAAACTTCCTCTCAGTAGCTGGGGGTGTCAGGACCAAGCCTATTAAACTGCCAGAGCCTGAATCGTAGAGGGATGCAGCTGCACCGGCATTAGAGTGGAGAGGTTTAAAACAGACTAGAACGCAGACACACAGTATGCACGTCTTTAAAAAGCGTTGCATGTTGGTGTTTCATGCAGGATCTCAGAGCTGCCTCATATCAAAACGAATGCTTGATCTTCTCCTCACATCATTGGAGTTGGCACGCTGCAGCTGGGGATGGAAGCGCTGTCACTCACACACAGTGAAATATTCCATATCAGAGACCTCTAGGCTACGGCAAAATTGCACAGAGTGGCTGTATGTGCACAATGCAGGGAATATAAATAGTATATGCTGATGTAGGGCCATGCGCAGTGTCGTGAGATGACAGCAGGACACAAGAGAAGCAGTGTTCCTCTGCAAACCTGCTGGACAATGCAAAACGCATTATTCCCACAAATGCTTCACTAAATCACGGAAGATTTATGGTCGTATCCAAAGTCAAGTGGAGGAAAGTGCAAATATGCAAATAAACAGACTCAGAATAGCCAAAGCTGTGGAGCCTTTTAGAATAAAACTGAAGGAAACATTTGATTTTAACGGTGAAAGTCAGAGGCTCATAATCATTTAATCTGCTGAGGAGGGGCTCCGTTATTTACACCAGCTCAAGAGGAAGGACCCTAAATGTACATTAGACAAAGCATCCACCCTAATTTAATATATTGGAAGTTTACTGCGCAGCAATAACCTGCTGATGTTGAATTTATACGCGTGGGTTTGATTCAGCTCTGCTCTCGGTCGCAGGGCCTGTTCACCATTCATTTACATTAGTTTGGGGTATCGGCTTCTCTGGGAGCGGGTGCTGTGTTTACTGATCATACTGATGTATTTGTCTACCAACTCCACAGGACAGGCGATCCATATTCCCATTACAGGTAGATTTCCATTCTTGCCCGGTAGAATAGCGAGCATCAATCAATATGTTTTTCGAAATGATTGCCAGCATATGTAGGAGAAGTTGTTGGGAACAGGATGTGAGTCAATGATCCACGGCTTTGTGCTGCCAGCCAGTCAAAAAGAAAGTCAATTCTCCAGACAGTAACTCTAAATTATGATGTCAGTGAAGCAAACAGCAGTCGACAAAATGCAAATCTTCACCATCTCTGATGTGCACGGCTGCAGTCGCTGCAGCAGACGCCTTAAAAAATAGGACAGATGTTACTAATAACATTAAAAAATGACTTTTTTTCAAGTGTCCCGATGTGACAGAGAGCCAACATCCAACATACAGTCGTACTCAAATGTATTCATACCGTCCCATTGAAGAAGGAAAATACAGATGTCATTGAAATAAGCTGAAATTGACAAAAGTAATAATAAATAAAAATTGAATGAACATCATGACAGGTGTTCTGGCCCACTGCTCATCAGGAAAGTGCTCTAATTTGTCTAATTTGTTTTTTTTATTATTTTTATTTTCAACCACAATTCAAAAGCAATGTCTTATTTCACTAAATTATAATTTAGCAAATTTTTATTTATTATTACTTTTTTCAGTTTCTACCTATTTGAGTGACTGTTGTGAATTTTGCCTTTTCTTTAACGGAAGGGTCTGAATACATTTGAGGACTGTAGCAGTACCCTGAAAGTCATGCAGCAAATTTTTATGTGTATTTTCCTGCTGCGACATGTGAACTCTTATCTGTGATAAAAGTCTTCCTGCTAGGAATAAAGGACATCCATCCATCATCTATACAGCGCTTCATCCTCACTAGGGTCATGGGGGGCTGGAGTCTGCTGGGGCAGGTTCACCTGGACAGGTAACCAGTCTATCACAGGGCTACACTTAGAGACAGACAACCAAGCACACTCACATTCACACCTACGGACAATTTAGAATCACCAATTAACCTCAACATGTTTCTGGACTGTGGGAGGAAGCTGGAGAACCCGGAGAGAACCCACGCTGCACGGGGAGAACATGGAGACGCACCGGGACGCAAACCAAATAAAGGACAGAACCAGCAAAATTCTAAATGACGTGGAACATCTTCTATATCGTATTATCAACAAATAAATGGTTCATTGTGTAACATCATCTGCAAAAAGTGTCTTAAAAATACATTTGTTTATCTTCTCTATAAACTTTTATGCATCAGTGTTTCATCCTTTAAAATGTCCCATAAATGTTTAGTTTGTTTTTTTAAAGCATTTAGGAGCATATATATATATCGATCAACTGTGTTTCCGCTGAGAGTAAATTCCACATCATCAAATTCTCTTTTTATGGTAAAATACTACTGTTACCTTAAAGGCATAATTCTGTGATGATGGGTTCATTCACAGCCCTTTAAAATCAACACTGACTATGTTTGGAAGCTGCCCTCTCTACTGCCTGTTGTCGCATACTGTTAGCACAAAGACAAGAAGAACAGGCGGTGCTTTCTCCTCACGGCCGAGTGCGTCTCCTCCTCTGGACCGGCCCGTAATGAGGAGACGGAGCCCGCATTTTTTCCATTAGGGTTAAACACGGGGAGTTAGCCAGTGGCCCTCCAACTCAATCACCACAGGAGCTTTGCTTACTCGCTGCCTGTGTTCTGACACAACTCTATTGACGCCACAGTAAAGCGAACGCAATTACCTGTCTCTCTTTTCCCCGGTGCTCAGGGCGGAGGGGGGTGAGATGGCCTGCATCAGCATAATCAAGTCCCACAGCTAGATGCTGTTAGTCCACACTGAGCACTGTTCACAGTTCCCCGAGTCTGACCTGCAAGTGCAATTTTAATGCCCTCTGATCTCCCATCCGGCTGCATTCACAACCATTAAAATCCCATCTTGCTTAGATAGGTGCATCGGACCCTAATGGAGACTGACTCTGGCCATTTGCTTTGTGTTAGCCCATTCGTTTCCAGCTACCAGGCTTGTGTCCAAATTGAGTGAGGGTGGGCGGGAGTGCTGCTCTCAGAGTCAAGACCCATTCATGATCCCCTGGATCATCCATGGATCAAGTGCCGCGGCCATATTTCTTCCCTCTGCTCGCCCTCTCTCTCTCTCTCTCTCTCTCCGCAGGCACAGGTTGGCCCCACATTAATGTTGATTAGCAGAGTGTGAAGGGAAGTGAGCAAACATCCAGAGGAGGCACTCCTCGCAAATAAATATTTGTTGTGCTGCTTTGGATAGAGACGGTTTTCTCTCTCACATGCATGCAGTAAAGTGCATGTTTCTAGTGATGCTGTGTTTGCATCTTCTTCACAGAATTTACAAAAGCTCGGTTGTGCTGTAAAGATGTCAAACATGCCAACACAGCATTAAGACGCGGTGCATAATTTTCATGCGCTCCTCATTCATAAATCATTAGTGTGGCAGGAAAGCATCAAATGATTCCTTCACACAGAGTAGATGAACATAATGTTCTACTTTGTGAATCCACAGCAGAGGAGGCTAATAGCGGAACACAAGACGAGCTGATCTCCTTGTCTGCTACATTTAGATGTACACGATAGAACATGTGCCACTATATTTGCTTTTCATCATCAAAACATACATCTTTGCAATTTCCCTGTTCAAGGATTGGAGAGAGATCCAGTGTGCTCAGCAAGCGCTGGCGGAGCTACTGTACGTGATCAGGGCAGGGATTGGTGCAGAGCTCTGCCACTCAAACAGCAAATACTCTCAGACTTCCTCTGTCCTCCTTTCCTGGTGCAGCCTGGGAGGAGGGAGGGGAATGGATCTTTTCTGTGTGAGTCGCCGGCGCTCCCTCAGCCTGCTCCTTACCACCTGTCCTTGACTTACTGTGCACAGACGAGACTGAGAGGAAGCCGTGCTGCTCACTCCACCTCTGCCACCTTTCTGCCTGTGTTCACGTGAGCAGCCGCCTTTTTTTTCCTTCTAACATTTCACTCTGTGGCGCTTTTCTTTCTACCTGTGGTGCTTCAGTGGAGTGGTGAAGGGAGGAACGTCTGTCCTCGGCCGGTGGAGCTCTGATGGGAGGCAGCGCTGACTCTGGCTGGGACTGGGGATGCTGAACGGAGGGAGGGAGGGCCTGTTTGAGCTGGGACAGCAGCTCCAGCAGCAGGGGGAGTACCAGGCCGCCCTCCACTGCTTCCTCAGCTGCCTGCTGGGACTGACCCATGTGCAGAGCTTCACCTCTCTGCCCAACTGCTTACACCAGGTGAGCCAGATGGGAATACAAACACACACACACACACACACACACACACACACACACACTGTATGTCTCTATCCTTCTTTGTCTTCCACACACACCAACATGAGTGCACATGCTCATTAGACGCACAGCTGTACAGACACATTCGCATCATGTCTCCTTTTGAGCATCATAAATTATCACACGGCACAGCACACAGGGCGCATTCAACCTTGATGTCTCAAACACCAATGTCAAACCTAACAGCTCAGTCCATCATGTGTCTCTGTGTTGACACTGTAAGATGACAGCAGGACTGATGGTGCTGCTACAGGAGGTATTGGATGCAGCACTAATACACAGCAACAGTGTTAATAGACCGCTCACTTTGTTAGAGATACGGTCGTATCCAGCTGACGCCTGCCCCGCTGTGTGCGGGCCGTGTTTGGCCATTTTTGAGGTCAGTGGCATGATGTGCAGCGAGGCCAAATCTTAGCAGATTACATGATGGAGGGGGGGCTTTACGAGTCCCTCCTACAAAGGCAGAGCTACGATTTTAATTCTGCTTAGTAGTGCCTGAAGGAATGTCCCTGATGTCAAAACATAGCCTTTACTCCAGAACTTTGGAACGAGCGGCGTGATGCTGACCAGACCGGCGGTGCTGCGAGGGGAGCAGAATTACTTGTTTTGACAGCTCATGACATCATGCGCACACACACACACCCGGGAATGATGTTGGATATTAATTATTTAATGCTTAACCATGTCGCTTGGTTGTTTTGTTTCTGTGCTTTACAGATTGCAGAACTCTTCATCACTGAAAAGAATTGTATCCTTCTCCAGCAAAATCAGGAAAAGCACCTCTGACGCTCCTCCTCCCCTTGTCCCATATACCTTTAGCAAGCAGCTCTAAAACCAGCTTCTTGACTCTGAACATGTAAAGGATTGTCAGTGGAGACAGGTGCGGTGAATTCCACCACAATGGAGGATACAGTCCCTTTATAGAAAGCAGTGTAAACCGAGGGGAAATGAGCGGAGGTCCTTGGAGGAGTTCATTATAGCACGTTTGTCCCCGAATGCCACATGTTTTGTGCGTTGCCCGGGCTGTGTGCCTGTCTCTTAAGAGGATTTGTAGGCTCTTATCTCTGCACAACAGAGTGGGAGAGCACTAATTAACCTGTGTATGCACCGACTAGCCTGTGCATCGCCACTTCGCCGCTTCTATAAACTAAAGACAGTATAGGACATAGAGATAATAGAGAGGTGTTTCCTTTCAGGATATATTACCTCCGTGGCTCCTCTCCCCGTCACTGAGACACTCCAACACTTAACTTGCCAGCTCAGGTTATCTACCTCAGCAAAGGCTCTACCTCTCACTGTCCATTTTCCAAAATAGGTCGATTTGCTGAGCTTCACTTCATCAATAGCCATCAGAGTCTGCTCCTCTCAGCATGAAACGCTATCTCCCTCAGAGGGTCGTCGACCATGACGGGGTCAAATCTTTTGACATTATTACATAAGGATCATTAAAAGTGATGTGTCGTGTCAGATTGTGGTGTTTTGTAGACGATGGAGTTGCGTTCTTTTACTTTGAGGCTTTAAAAATGTAAACACGCCGTTTGTTGTTTAGTAGGTCAGCAGCAGAGTGGAAGAGTTTGAGAAAGTTTTCCTCATAAGGTTGCAAAAATAAGATCATCAGAACCATAAAAACTCAATTAAACTGCTTCTAATGACATCAGTGTAGCTAAACATATTGTTAAAGGTATGATTCGAGCAAAGACTTTGGTTTCGGTTCTCTCAGTGTTTCTCATGAGCGTCGCCGAAGCACTGATCTCGTGGTGCGGTTGTCCTCCAGGGAGGCAGGTGAAGGGTCAGGCTGCCGGAGCTGGGAGCAGGATGTGGGAACTCTGGAGTTTCACACAAATACATGATGAGAACAGGATTCGCAGCGCGTCCTCGCATGTCGTCTCGTGGTCCGATGCACGACGAGGAGAGGAAAACGGAGTTTGCTTATTCAAAGCTTCGTGCTCCTGGCTTCGCTCCAGGCAAATACACTGTAATAAGTGCGGCTGATAGCGACTGTGGCAGAGCAATGTCCACTTAGAGCCTGACGTATTGTTATCAGAGCTGGCAGGAGGCACAAGTGACCTTTGTCCGCAGCCAGAAGTTCTTTTGGCTTCTAAGCGTTTACTGATACGGGTTTCGTGGAAAGAATACAGACCCGCTCGTATGGACTTTAACCTCAAACAGAAGGTGGATATCTAATGAAAATCTGGTCTTTGTATTTTTAAAGTCGTCAGGACTCATAATCAATACAGTCTGACCACTTTCAGTCATATCTGATTACATGATTTGTAGAACTGAGAAACAGATAACTCTATTTTGTAGATTTTCAGAGAACGTGTGTTTTTGTTGTTTGCTTGAGATAATATCAATCAAACTGAAGTTGAGTGGATTCGACTCAGTAGAAATGACAACAATAGAGATAACATAGTTTGATTGATGTTGTCTCAGGTAGACGATGGAAACGTGGGTTTTCTGAAGGTTTGTGAAGACGGTTTCTGCAAATGAACTCTTCCATTCTACTGTAAAATTCTAGGAAATCTCAGTTTAATACCGGCTAGAGACGACGGTGTAGCTGCTCTATTTCAGTGCACTGACGCTGCACGTGCCATCCGACGGGCCTTGTAGGGGCGCCGGCGTTAATGCAAGTTGTTGTCGAGGTTTGGAGCGCAGTCCAATTACCAGCTCTGTGAAGGCTGTGTGCGTGGATGCTTGGAGTGGAGGCCGTTCCCAGGAGGGGGATTGTGTCAGGTTCCTGTTGTTGCATTGTTGTGGTCCAGGCCAGCTAAAAATAGCAGGCAGAAGTAGTGCTCTGACCTTTGGCGATGGCCGTTCCTCCCTCACAGATGGTCCAGCTCATACTCGCCTTATTCCCTGCTGCCAGGTGACTCCCAGGAGCTGGGCCAGGTAGAACGCATTCCTAATCATCCCGTAATAGAAGTCAGGATTTGTTTGAAACGTCAGACCAAAAATAGAATAATGTTTTCCAAGGGATTTTATTTTTAAAAATGCTGAGTTTTATTGAGAGGTTGCCATATTGTTCTTTAAATTATTAAATTGTACATCCACTCCTCATCTGTCCTAGCCTCTATCCTTCCTCTATAGCCGCCCTTCCCTCGTGCTGAGGATCAAATAGATTTGAACTGACCCGTGTCTTGGCTTTCCCGGCTCGACCTTATTGTTATTTCAGGAGCGTGCGGGGCCGACACCGTTCTCCTGGTCGCACAACGAAGGAAACCAGCTGTTGTGGTTTTCAGCTGCAAGATTAGCTGTTCCTCGAGAGTGGAAAGTTATTGTTCACCGCGTTAACTTCAACACAAAAGTCGTAAATGTTTAGCTTTATTTGCAGTCTATTGAAGTGTAATTGGCTCGCAGTTTCCCAGCAGCGAGGAAAAGTGAAACACCAAGAATGGCATTAATAGCGTTTTACACATGAGAAATGGGGTGTTAAGTAGGACATTCAGACGGGCACGGCTGTGTTTATTTTAAGCATTCTCCATCCCATTGGTCTTTAAATTCACCTGACAAGCATCAATGGTGTCATTTTGCAGCGGGACACTAAGTGCGCAGGATGCTTTACAAAGGGAGCTATTTATAGGACGCTTTAAATAGAGACTCTTTTCATGGAAACAAAAAAAAACAAAACACTGCCAATCAGGTCAATCAAAAGGAGAGCGTGCAAACCTTAGAAGAAAACCAGACGTTACAATGAGGTGTAATCGGATACATGTGAGATTCTTAACCGTGTCTGACACACACAAAAAAACAGCAGCTACTGACACAAAAACAAAAGGCAACAGATGCCAGTGACTGAAGACTGTCTCGCAAACTCCAGACCTGGAAATCAACAATGTGCTCTGGATTATTGCCCACAGGGGTAGTTCTCAAGTGGTGTGAAAACGGAAAACGTGAGCTGGGCAACAAGGCTGTTTTTAACTTCAGCGACCGACTAATCCTGTTGACATCTGAGCCTGATCCTTCACCCATATAAACAGATGGAAAGGCCCTCCAGTTCATCCAGGCTGAAAAAATGTTCTATGAAGTGGCATTGATCGAGCTCACGGCTCTTCAGGGGAGCACAGGCAAGTACTTTTCCTATTATTTTATCAGGGAATTCTGCTGGGAATGCAATTGCAAAACACTCGGCGCATATTGGTCAGTGTGCACTTTGGCTTTGAACGGGGTTTTTTTGGCTTTATTTCCCGCCTGATTTCCAAGAAGTTAAAGTTCCTGGGACAAACACATGCAGTTTGGTAGCAGTTATGTGTAAAGTAAAGACAGTGGTGATTTCAAACAGCTTTAAGAAATAGTTTCCAGTTATTTGCAGCATTCATACAGCGTATTTTAATCATTGCACAGCAGCTACACATGTTAAACTGACATATTCCATCAGGCGTGTGTATATTTCTGATTGTATGAAGCATGCTTTTTAAAATAAATGACTGGTTTGCTTGCTTTTAACAGGATCGGTTGTTTTAAGTAGATTAGCAACTGTTGATTTTGACTCCTTTTTCTTTCAAATAAGTTCCATTTTCCTTATGCAGAAACTCTCTACAATTTACATAAAGATCATTAAACATCCTGGTTTTTGTTGACCTCTGGTGCACAAGGTTTTATTTTCATTTGCCAGATAGATTGAAGCTGTTCAGTGGCTGGCAGGACGTGTTTGTGGTACGCTGCACTCCAAAGTGACTTATGCGTAGCCTATAAATGATGTGAAATGAATGAACTGTGTGCCTTTTGTACAAATCAGGGAGTCAGCTCCTTTACGTTGTTAAGGTAATATGGAGCGACGTCCCGTCCTGGCCAACTCCATCTTTGTTTACAATATGCCTGCTGGAGCTTTATGCGAGCGTTCAGAGCAAGGCCGCTCATTCATCACCGGCTGCTGCTGCTCCAGACGTCTGCCTCTTCCTCTCTGTCTGCTGCTGAGGCAGCAGCGCAGTGTAGCATGGGCACAGTGGAGGGGATCAGGGACGGACATAGTAGAAGACAAATGGCCACACTTTCTCATTAGGAGCTGTGTGTCACTGCCGAATACTGAAGGCCCTGATTCAGCACTCGCTCGGATTAAATGCTGGACTTCTCCAGGGGCAGAGCTGGCACTACAGCTGCAGCTTACAGGCTTTCTTTCTCTCCCCGGCGTCTCTCTCAAATGTGCCCTTCTCTGTATTTCCCCACTGACAGCTGACATAATTGTCATTGTGTGGGTTTTGTAATGCAAACTAAAGTCTTTACCTGCTACAGTGATTTATTTGCGCTCGCTTGTGGCATGGATTACAAGCACTTCCACCTCCACGCTGAGTGGAGTGTCCTTGGTGTGTATTCTGTTTACGGCCGTCACTGTGTGCGTCTCAGTGCTCCAGTGGGCGTGGCGAGTGTGTTGTTTGACTCCCTTATCCGCCCTCTCCAGCCCTTATCTCTGCTCTCTTGTCTCCAGTCCTCAGTTGGCTCCTCTTTACTGTTCTGGCTTAAAGTCCACAGCAGCCTGATAGGCTGATACTCAGGCTTTTGGGAGTTTACTTTTCTGTTTAGAGACGTAACAGGCGAGGAGTAGTGAGGAGAAAGGACAGACACACGAGCAGAGGGGTGTTTTATCGGTGGGCTGACTGTGACTCCATGCCCTGTGTTTGTGTAACAGGGCCTCAGGAGGAGGCTACTCTGGGCTCTGCAGGATGGACGACCCCAGAGGAACTTTCGGAGCAGGCCTCCCAGGCTCAGCACCTGGAGCGGCTGGCTCAGCTCTGCATCATGAGCAAACAGTAGGTAAAATTGTGTCCTGCTGTAGCTTTCATTGGGGTGTAATTAATGGACTGTTACATGTTCTGTGAGTTTAAAGGCTCAGTGGGCTCATCACAAGTGGATTTATTGTTAAAATATTTCACTTTTACGACGTGTTTTATCACCCACAACATTCTGTATGCACATATATATACTTATATAAATATATATGGATGTTTCTGTTGCATTTTGCCTTCGATGAGCTGAATCGAAAACTGGTGCTGATTCAGGTGTAACAAAGCAAACAGTGTGTTTGCATTCGTTACTGTTATCAGGTTTATTGCATAAGCAGCAGCTCAGTGCATAATGACAGATAACCCTATGAAGTAAAACCCTCACTGTAGGGTCATAATAATAGATTCAGATTCGTTTTATTGTCAGTACAATGAAAAGTAAAGGTGCAGGCCTTCTGGAGCAAAAACTAAATATATAAACTTTGTGAGATAAATATTTTATTGAAATGACTTTTT